GGCAGGACCATGGCTGGGGCAGCATGGTGCCAGGTGCTAGCTTTCCATAAGCGACTCCTAAATTAACGAGAAACCCTCGTGTTAAATAAACACATACACAGTGCAATGCATCGTCTCCTCCAGGCAGACAGTTGGAGTCTCAGATTTTTAGAAATACCCAGAGGAACCCTAACCCAGCCCTCCCGCTTCTGCTTGCTGGAGGGAACTGTTGCGCTTTTTCAAATCCTCTAACAACGATGAAACCTTAAGGCAAGAAAACCCTTAATTCTCACAGTGCAAAGTACCATTAAAGGGGACTTTGCACCATGAGGTCCTTTGTCAGGCTTTGGATGGGTGTGAGCAAATAGCTCAGCTTGGCCGGTTTCTCCCCCTCCACCCGCAGCTCAGGGAAAAGCTCTGTGCTGCCTGTTGCCTCAAATATTAGTAACCTTATCCAAGAAAATGAAATAAAGTGCTGACATTTGTTTTCATTATTTTTTCTTCTGAATTCACATACTGAGTATCTGCATCCAGGTTTTGGTGTCTGTTGCTAGATGGAGGAATATTTCCTTGTATTACTTGGAGGACTAGATTTTCCAAAACAGAGGTGAAACTCTGTTCCTCTACAAAGTCCAGCAGAGTTTTGGTGTTTGCTTTCACAGAGCAAAGGCTCAGGCTGGGCGCGCAGGACTGCATGCTGGCTGGCAGGGGCAGCCTGCTCCAGGTCGCACTGGGTGCACACCCAAAACTCATCTTGAGAAGGCGAAATGCAGGTGGTGTACTTGTGATTTACCCTTTAAAACAGAGCAGGAACACGTACGCTGTCATCCAGTACAGGCAAGAGTATGGCATACCTTCCAAACACCAGGGCTGTCTGCTTCTGTACCCTCCCAGTATGTTCATACAGTTTCCAGTCTGCCAGTGCTTCTTCTCTTCTATACTAGCGCTATCTGAAATTCAGCATTTTAGTTCTCAGAGAATGATGCTGATCCCTTCCTGGGCTCTGATTTTGCACTCTGATCTTGCTTGAAGTTTTCAAGTTGGTTGCTCGGTCCTGCTTCAACAGAAATAAAAGCATCCCAAATTCATCAGGTAATACAGTATCTACACAAAGACATGAAGAGTCGCAAATTGTCTGAAATCTGGCCTGAGATGTCTGAGATACTTGTAACTTCAACCTGAATTTTGACTCATGAGTAACATGGAGGATGTCCCTGTTACATGCTTTCGACCTCCTCTCGGATTTTCTGTTTGACTTTTTCACCGAGAGGCTCCAAAAGCTGAATTTAATCATGGGATCCACTAATCTTGTGTTTAAGGTATGTTAAAGCCAGTTAAGCTGGCTTTAAGAAAGCTGCAGAAGAAAGCTACAAAATCAGCTGAGAGGGTCAACAACTTCTAAGTAGTAAAGCCAATTTAACAGTAGGTTCAGATTAGTTGAGTTCACTGCTTCGCAAGTTGCAAGTGATAAAACTGGGGCTGACATTTCCTTGGGTGCTGACTGTCAATGTAAGGCAAGGCAGGTGTATGTACAGGTGGGACTCAGATGTGTATTCATGGCTTTAGAAACTGAAAAAACACTGCTCAGATGGCAGATTTATCAGTAGAAGGTAAATCAGCCCCCTCCTGCATTTAGACACAGTTGGCTTTGCAATGAACTAACCTGGAGAGATTTAATAGCACTAAGCAGGTGGTAAAACGTTTGCAAGTCTGGGCACTGAGATCCTTCCCTCCAAGGTCTTCCAGTGCTTTTAAGCCATGACTAAGCCTAAAAAAGGAAATATAATTTTAAATAGTTTAAAGATTCCCCTGCCCTCTCCCAGTAAAAACAAGAGTACAAACGTAAAGACCCAAAATAGATCTTTTTTTTCCCTAGAAGCGACATTTTTCAACCATTTAATAATTTTGGACTTTCAAAATTGGTTTCAATTTGTTCCTTATGATCCATTCCTTTACAAAATACACTAGGAGAACGGGGTAAAGGAGGATAAGGAAAAAAACAACAACTTACTTTGTATGTCTGGCAAAAGCTATTTCAAACACAACCGTTACTTCCCTTTAGAAACCTATGTGGACTTGTTTAGGAAGCACTATTCCTGACATTTCAAAATGAATACAAATAAAAAATAAAAACTACAAACATTTACAAAAACATGTTTACAATAAAGCTATAGAGGCCTTTAAAATGTCAAATATTTTTGGTAAACTCCTGGTAGGGTTGGTTTTTTTCTGTTCGCAGATGGAAAAAAAATTCATAAGCTTAAATGTGCATCAGAACTGCAAATATTTGATTACTCCTCACAGTGTATTCATTAGAAATTTGTTTAGCTTTGCTTTAGACATTTCAAACAATAGTTTCCAATGCTTCCTTGATAGACCAAAATATTCCAGTCTACCACAACAGCCGGAAAGACTTCCTGATCTTCAGCCAAAATTCCCTTTTCTTTACATCATCTCACTACTCCTGATTATACATGTCTTTGTACAATAAAGTTCTCCCACAGGAAGACTTAGACTCTTTCAAAATACTCACCACCAGAAACATTACGCTTCATTCATCTCCAGCCCACTCTATGTATACCTGTCTACTGCCTTCCTCGTGACTGTACCTTAAAATCTTCTGTTCTTATGCTTTTAAAATGCCTTCCAGCTGCCGACCACTTTCCGCTAAGGCAGGCTAGAGGTAGCCGAGGTACTTGAGCCATGTGTGAGTGGTGTAGTAAGACCAGGGCACTGGAACTTCTATTGCTGTTTACAAAAAAGGCTCTGCAGACACACCTAAAGAAGGGTGGCAGACATGGCATGGGTTTTGCATGTTACAGGTCATCTCTCCAAATGCAGATTGCATCAGTAGTATTCGCTCGCCTCTAAAAAATTGGAAAGTAAGAACCAAGTGGGACTTTTTTCCCCTTTTACTCTCAAATCACTAAGTCATGTCTAATCTGAACCTCAGATAACACATGCTCTTCTAAAACTGCCATTCCTCTCTCTCAAATGACCACACAAAAATCAGAAGCACGAAAAATAAAGAAGAAAAAAAAAAAAGGCTACAATCTCATTCTCTCTTCTTCCATTACCTTTGTAGACATAGAATCCAAACTCATTATGCATAAATAAATAATAAAGTATAATATATAGTATTATTATATAAGCATAATAAAGCATAATAAGTAACAAATCTGGGCACGGAATTTGAAAATAGAGTAACAAAGTTTTGCCACTTACCTAAAACATGCTGGAAAAGTTTGGAGTTCTCAAAATGTCTCTCTTTAGAGAAAGAAACATCTACACCTGTAATCTGTGAGCTGCATTTGCCAAGCAGCAGACAAATATATTTTCTGGTAATTAAGACATCTAGAAAACTAATCAAGTCCTAATGTAACTCATTTCACCTGCAGCCTCCCTCTTTTATACAGTACAAAGGAGCACACTTGCTTGACTTGAAAAAAAAAAAAAAATTGTAGTAGTGTCTTTGTTTTGAAGGACTTCTAGATATTTCCATTGGTAACTCTTTGTCTCTGCTCCTGCTTCTCTGCTGGGCCATCAGCTGTGAAAAATCTCCATTTACTTATTATCTCTTCTGACCCTACTGCATGCTGTAGGGGAACAGGTAACTTTCACAATAAATTAAGCAGCCTCCAGTGTGCTCAACTGCTGTGATTTTTTTTTTTTTTTTGCCTTTGGTACTCCGACAACAGAAAATAGAGGATTTTCCTTTTGAGGAGAAAGTGGCAAAGGCAGTTGCTCTTTTCAGGGTGAGTTAGGTGCAAGCTTTCCCAGCTTCTGAACAAAGAACCTCTCCCTCTAAAGTGAAAGCTGATGATACATCTGCCCTCAAGCATATGTTTTCAAAGGCAAGATGACTAAATAGAAGGTTGTTTCTATTGCAAGGTTACGTAGTAGCACTAACTCATTGACTAAAAAAAAAAGGTTTCCTTTCTTTCCTAGTGCAGATGATCTGTGTTGCATGTTTTATTACTCATACTCTGAATCTGATGAATAGAAAAGTAAATGACATGCAAGGTCTACTTTAAGGCCAAAATGAGAAAGAGTTTTACTTTGAGGGAGGAGGAGGATGGTTGTTTTAGTTTCATTTAGTCAGTACATTTAATTCTCGCCTGACTGAGTTCATAGATCTCTCTTATCAAGGTGCTATGTGCACGGAGTTTTAAAAGCTTTTTTTTAACTTAAAGGGGCCTTAGTTGTTCACCATTCCTGAACCATCCTTGTACAATGAAACTTATGAGTATTTTCTTTCGTTGCCTGTTAAATCAAGAAAAAAAATAGAGCCTTCCTATTACAGGATTCCTAACTAGAACTGAAGGAAGAAATTCACATGAAAACTTGAAGAAATTTCAAGTTTTCTTTTGGCTTCTATACAAGAAACTGTGAGAATTTGATGACGATTTTCTCAAAACAACAGCATAGACTAGTTTCCATAGCAAATTTTTGCTTCTAAAATAACTCAAGTCAGTAGCCTATGCAACTAGGGTAATAGTTAATGAGAAAACTTTAAAAAGTCTGGCAATTCTCATTATTTGGTCTTGGCTGAAGGTCTCCATAAGCAATAGAGGCTGAGCAGGGCGGGCTTGAACAAAGCTTCTACTCAAGATAGCATCTATCTTCTGTTACAGTATAATATTTTAGATTTGCACTCTGAAAAACACTTTATAGAAATAGTCTGACACTGAAGTCACCACAATAGTAATTAATAGCTGAAAGTCCTTAATAAGTCCGAGAAAAAAAATAAAAAAATCAAGCTATCTTTCTGGAGATGCGCAAGGAGGAACTGCAGGTTTAACTGTCATTGTATATGTCTGAATATTGTGGCTGACAAATGCAGAACAACACAGTGCGACTAACGCAATGATTGCAAAGTAGGACACATCATGGCTTAGTGTAAGATCTCCTTCGAATTGTACAAGTGTGTGTTTCAAAAACAAGCATATGGTGTGCTTTTTTGAAAAGGAGTTGAGTTACTCATATTTAAAGCAACACGGTGTCTTCCCTTCCAGGGAACCAGTATGCCACAGTACAAGTTAACATACTTCAATCTGCGAGGACGAGCAGAAATCAGCCGCTACCTCTTTGCCTATTCAGGCAAGAAGTATGAAGATCACAGGATAGAAGCAGCAGACTGGCCCAAAATCAAACCAAGTAAGTAGCACGGGATCTTAGATGCAAAACTCCGCTAGAAATGCTGTCGAAAGGCAAAGCAATGGAGGAGGTAACTATACATTTCATGACCAGAAACACATTTAGTTCCTGGCTTTAACCCAGCCTATGGCAATTTTATTGCCTAGACAGCCAAAACGTCATTCCTGATGCTCTCACAGAAGTCCGGATCCAAATCTTCAGGCAGTCTAAAATGACTTACCTGCTGTCATCCAGCTGGGCTTTTACTCCTTATCAATTCATTTCAGCTTTTGTCTGCCTAAGGCTCATCAAATGCATTCCAATCTTCCCAGCTTCTTTGGAGAGTTTGGTCTCAAAGACCACATAGCAGCCTTTACCCTGGTTTTAGAAAGCCAAACCGGAAATAAGTGCCAGGAAAGATGTTGCTTTGCAACCAGAAAGGTCTTCAGAGAGGGAAGGTGATGAGAGGAAACTGAAGACATCAGTTGATACAGTAAAGAGAAAACAAAAGGATCAAAAGAGGTGTTAGAATATAATTGTTCCTAAGAACAGCCCTTCCAAGAGTACTCTGCAGGCTACAAGACTCCATTTCATGTTTTCTAGTTAAAAGTAACCTCTTTCCAGCTATTAAAGCTGTTTGTTGGTTTTGTTCATTAAATTAAACTCAGTTCAAACAAAACAGATTTTGAGTTTGGAGACTGGGGATATGAAATCAGAGATAGCTGTGTCTTCATTTCATGGATTTGGCCTGTGTTTTGCTACACAGGCTGTGACACTTTTCACATCCAGAATGAAGAACATCGCCTTTAATTTGGGGAAAATAGATGACTAATGTACAATGCGGTTTCCATTAATCGAGTAATGTTCCTTGGTAACCTTTCACAGCATTTAATAAGCCCTGCCAGCAGGCTACTAAATTCTTGTAGGTTGCAGTCAAATTTGGTCTTTCCCGTAATGTTCGCAGTGACTTGAACGACAAATACTTGAGCACCACTGTTCTCCAAGGGGCAGCTAAAGCCCATCTGTGGTGCTCAAATCTAGAGAACACTGAGTAACAACCCACAGAGAGGAGTGCAAATGAAGCAGTGGAAATGGGATATTTTCAGTTAGGAATGGCTGACTTCAGAAACCTTTTGTCTTTAGGAACTTAAGCCTGTTGACCATGTGATATAGCTTATGTCTCTCCCACACTCTCAGGGCAGCAGGGCAGAAGCTAAAGGCGAGTCACACGTACACACACCCACCTATGTCCTGAAACAAAGTTTAGAGAATATTAGCAATGTGTAATTCTATGAAGAGTTTTGTACACTGATATTTAAGTAAGACAAGTTAAAAAGACAAAGAATAAATAGTTGACTTAAAGGCTACAGAGGCACCCATAGCCTAGGACAAGATGTTTTAACAGCCCTCTCCCTGGAGGTGTTCAAGGCCAGGTTGGACGGAGCCTTGAGTAGCCTCATCTAGTTGAGAGGCGTCCCTGCCCATGACAGGGAGGTTGGATTAGATGATCTCTAAGGTCCCTTCTAGCCTATGCCATTCTATGATTCTATGATCTATCAATCAATATTGATGATGCACCCAACGTCCAAGACAGCCCAAGAAACAATGCAGGAAAATCCCTCCTATGCTTTTCTTCAGTGATCACATCATGAGATTTCCAGCGAAGCTTTGTATGTACGGTACTTGTTCTCTACAGTATACGCCCAGTTGCAACACCACTACCACCAAAACACTGGGAGAAGAGACACCCTAGAAATCCTAAGCCATACGGTTTATAGCTGTATCTGCTGCATTAATGAATGTTGGCCAAGTCGTTTAACATTTGGATGTCTTTGTTTCTCTGATGTAAAGAGTTTTAAAGCAGATGTAAAAAGCAGGTTTATCAAGGGTTAATTGAGGTTTTTCTTTTTCTCTGCATAATGGCCTTTCATAGCAGCTATGACTGATCCCTAGATGAAATTCCAAAGCAGTTAAGAAGTTTAGTAAAATGTGGGAGCTCCTGCTCTCAGATTTATGAAATCATCTGTGCAAAATTCATGCTGGCCTAAGAGTTCTTTGAATTTCAGCTTCTGTAGACAGCGTCCTTCCAGTCAGTCCATGGATGGGAACTGGAATGTATCGTTCTATTTGACCAGGAAAACATACACCTACAAAGAAATAGTTGGATGCATGTCTGGAAGGGCTATTACATCTCATACCAGGATGCTAAACTTCTGGAAGGCTCCCTGAATCCTACCACAAGCATTTGCCACCAGTGGCATCTGCATTGCACACAATACGCAAGTTAAGAGGTTCATAAACTAAAACAAGAGTAAAAGTATCTTGTTTGCATGCATAACAATGTAATGCTGCTAAGGAAATTGTCTGGAGATCAACTGACTGATGACTACACCTCCTCCTCCTTTGTGAAGCTTGTGAAGTAATGGTATTACTCATGGTATTTCCAGACAAAGTAATCTCCCACAGCCAAATCATTCAGCAAAACTCTAAATAGAAGGTAGCAACAGGGCTTTGCAGTAAACAGCCTTACACTGTACAAGACCAATAGCTACTGCCCCAATCTGCCCTAAGGTACCTAAACGCTGACTTTACAGGCCATGACTCAAACCAAGAAATAGTTGCCTCCTAGCTAGGGGCTTAGGTCTACAGGGTTTGTGTGTCTCAGCACTACAGCAACATTGCACCATTCACCATAAGGAAAACAAACCACTTGCATTCTCTACCACTCTGAATTTTCAAAACGTGCCTCAGCTTCCTCCATGGAGATGGGGATTGACAAGGAAAAAGCACCAGTCCTCAGGAAAGCAGGTGACAGGATCCTGGCCAAAATAAGTTCAATTACTGCTGTGTTTGACAGTAAAAGTTAAATGAGGGGAAACATCCAACCCATTGTGCATACAAAGGCACAGTTCACTCTGCTGAGAGATCATCTACACTGCTGTCATTCATATTCTGAATTCGGATCTTTCTTATGAAGCTCAGGATCTATTTTTTTTCTTTCCCATTTTGGCTGGAATGGGTCTACTTCAAAAAGAAAAGAAATAGGTAGCAGATTCCAGTCAGTCTCATCCTGGCGAAAACCAAAAGGTGGTAAGTGTTTAGCAACACTAGGGGTAATTACAGCTTCATTTGGTGTAACAGTAGCTAATGTAATAGCAATTTGGTACACCACTTATTTTGCAACCCTCAAAGATCATTAAAATTGGTCCAACTAATTGAACTAATTACATAATTATATATCGAAGTGAAGAAATACGAAACAAATTGCTATGCACACTTACATACACCATGTTTGCATTTATCCATTTGCCTGTGAAAGATTGGAATCCAGTTTTGACTGCAGAGTTTGCAAGTACAACATAATGTCTCTCTTCTAAAATCTTCAAGTATTATGAAGTGAGATAAAGAAAAAAAGTACTGAGGGAAGAAGTTTGGACAAGGAGAGCACTTAATGTTTCTCGAGCTACTAAGGGAACAAATCAAAGAATTCAAGTTTGTCTAAGAGCACAACGAGTCAGTTCTCTGCACAGATGATAGGCTTGCTTCATCAATTTTCACAAAATTAAAGTGAGGTTTTGCAACAAATACCAACCTCCCAGCCAAATCATCATACCATATAAACTAGAAAATATGGTCATGATTCTGAAGAAAAGACTTATTTCTCAATTCTCCTGTAAAATTGATGGGAAAATAAAAAATCTGTGTATTAAGATTAATGTGCAGAAAGGCCATTTAGAAAGCAGACTTGCAGCTGCTGCAAGTTTAATTTTGGCCTGGACTGAAGAGTGTGATGAATTTTGTTGTTTGTTTTAGCATTTTTCACATGAGTCTCCCCAGAGAGCTGTCATCTTAATGGTCCTTCAGGCAATTAAGTAATTCCTCGCTCCTAGAAATACTGTATCACTTAATTTTGTTTACATGTATGTGGTGCTTTTTTTTTTGTACAAGAGGCAGGCATATTTTAACATAAAAACTTATGTCATTTGGCTTATACACACTGACATTAAAATTTCTGTATCTCAATGTGGTTTTTTGCCTTTCTGTCACTAATCAGGTCATTTGTGGTAAATTTTCCAGTTGCTGATTTCTGGCGAGGATTGTAGTTTATAATCATTTGTAATATAAACAAGCTTAAGTGAGCTAGTATGTAAGTATTAGTGTTGACTAGCTTTAGTACAGAATTTTAAAAAATAGATGAATATCAAGTAGAAGCCTTACATGACACTTCACTCCATATAAATCAATAATTATTTAAAAAGTAAGCAAACTCACATTTTACCTTTCCATTCGAATAGACTTTGACTTGACCATGCCACCATTTAAACCGTAGTCTATTCAAGATCCATACACTATAATATACTCATTTAAGGTCTGTATTGCCACATAATAGGCTCCTCACAAAAAGCACTGATGTAAGTCATGATACAGCAGAAAATCCACTGTAATGGTGCACAAAGTTACCATCCCCTGGAGATATTAAGCTAGCATGCAATAACAGCTTTTGTTCTGTGGCTCGTTCAGGGAATTCAAAGCAATGGCAACTACGCAGAATTTATCATTGTAGCAAAGGATGCTTTCGCTGTGCTGATGGACGTAGACATCCCATAAACTGTTTAGGAGGGGTGGAATGATGCTTGAAAGGTCCTTAGGAAACTTGACAGACTAATTATTGCACTGAAAATACTTCCAAGATAATAGACAAATCTTGAGAGGCACCTGACAGCAGACATGCATTCCTCAAGAGAGCAGTTGTCCTGTTTCCTGAGTGACTTGCTACACGTAGCTCTAGCTAAGATGTGTAAATAGCTATTTTTGGGTAAAAGTAGGGCATAGAAATCACTTCCAAGGAGAACATGTGTTGTAACAGCTAGAGCATTAAAGCTGGCCTGAAGTTACATCAGAGCTCCATCCTGGCCATCTCTTTCTAGAAGATATGAATTCTGGATGCCTCCAGCTCCAGGCCAATCACTTCCCAGGGGCCTTGCTCCTCTGCCAGCCTTACAAAAAAATGCATCTTTCAT